TTGTTTTTGGAACCACTAAAATGCATTTTGGATCACTTACGGCACATACGGAGGTGATCTGTAGCTCATTCTATTCCTTTCGACAAGGCAAATCGATTGGCCCAATTCTTAGCCGACAGTATCTAGGATATTCTGGAATAATTCTAGAAACGACGTGTTTTGATGGTATCAATGCACCTACGAAAGAGCACTGACGAGACGCTGTAAATTACTGTAATCTCTTTCTGGCATTTACATGAATCATTAAGATTTGATTCATCCGATTCGCGCTAATTAGACCTAATTTCGAGAGAAACAAACAACATAATTTGAATCTATGCTTTTTGATGTAATGTTCTGTGCTTGAAAGCGGACAACTGCAGTTCGTTTCAATTTTTTTATTATGAACTTGCTTCACCATTAAAACTTTTTGACATGAAGATAGCTGCCGGTGACGCAACACTTAGGTAGTTATCAGTAATTGAAGAAACAGAAGAGGCAAGTGCCAATTTGAGCAAAGAAGAAGTTGTCAGTAGAACATGATGATTCAGGCATCTTATATCATGTCTCTGAGTTTGATCGTCAAAAAATGAAAAGGTAGCATCTCTTACAGTTTTTTACATGACGTCGCAAATCATTTTTTTCTGTTCTTGAGGTAAAATAAAGAAATAAAAAAATCAATAAACAAGTAACGCGCGATGCTTGATTTAGTTAAATGAGTCGAGTATTGTCTGTAGTAGAGCAATGGAATACTTGTAAACAAGGTCTGTTATTTATTCTACATCCTATACTCTTGCCCATAATATAAAGTCGATATTTTGAATGAATAAATTAATTTTAATATTATATACGATATTTAATTAGTTTTGTTAGGATATTTGCTCAGTTTTTACAAGAACCTTTCTGGAGATGCAAAATTGAATGAAACAAACGGGACTCTTGCATTGCAGTTCAGGTGAATTCAGCATGATATGAATATTTTTATTGTCTTTCTTCAATTCACTCAGTGGAGCTTGTTCCATTTCCGATCGCAAGCTTCAATTATTATGATTTATGAAAAATGTAGTGAGTTTTGATTCTGAAATATGAGCATTATCATCGTCGCAATGGTAAAATAAGTTCAGAATAAATAAAGTTCGAAAAAAAAGTTTCCGAAACGAACATAAGCTAGAGCAAGAGAAGAGAAACCTGAGGTACACACGAGAGATGAATAATTACCTGACTGAACACAATGAAACAATTAATATGGTCCGGATACTTCCAAATAGTGATGGAATGTGGCCAAAAATATTAGTGAACTGAAAGAGGCATGAAAACATTCAAAATGAAAGCTTAAACTACTAACGTTTGATAATAATTACTACAATATTACTAAGAAGTAATATTGTAGTAATTATTGTTAAAAGTTAAACATTTTTATTTACGCTTTGTACTGTTTAGGTTCGCTTTGTTCGTAGGAGAACGAACATTGCAGGTGTTGCAGGAGCTCCCACTACCACAATATTTCATTTATGGTGTCGGAAGGCAGGGCCGTACAGTCAGAGCGTCATACACACTCTTAGTGTCACGTTAAAGTCGTTCATTCCGTCACGTTTCATAATTCATACACGAAAGACATTCTTTTTGGATTATCACCGATTCTGTGTAAGAGTTTGAATATTATCGGAATGATTGAAGTTTTGAGACGCTATAACTAGGACTAGTCAACATTTTCTTTCCGGGAAACTCGACAAGTAAATGTCCTCTCTTAACAAAAAACTTCACAAAAATCTTTCAAGATTTGAATAATTTTGAGAAATTTATCAATACAATATTTTTAGCACTATATTTGAACATCTAACTAGAGAAAGTTAAAGACGAACTGAATGACTTTTCGTGACCGTACGTGACTTTTCGTGAAACATGACGTAGCTTGTAAGGTAACGTAACATAACGTCTTCGTAACTTGCTCTTTCCAGAGCAACTAGATGTGAAAAAACTTGATACCGGTGAATTTTTTACACGTTAAATGTAAACGTAGGTCACTGAACGGTTGCAACTGCTAAAATGCATTTCTATGAATTTATCGCACAATATTAAATGAGATTATTGTTTATTTCACGTTGAATTTGTCTTCTACCCTCTCCAAGCATGCTTCTCGGAAAGGATAATTACAGTAGATAAATAAGTACAGTATTTGGTTGCGAGAACAAACGCATCTAAAATATGAATTGTGTAAATTTTGGGATAATTATTTTAAACACGTTCGTGTTATTTTGTGAATAGACATCCCAGGACTTACAGTCATTGAAATGCCTACAAACTATTTAACTATTTAACTAACCATTCCTCTACTAACTCCAGAGGTTGTGTCAATGCAATTACTTAAAAGATTACCTACACTAAAATTATCGGTTTACCTCCATGTTTCATGCAAAATTCATTATACTCCCTTTACACAACTTTTAGAAGCCGAAACGAAATGATAAAAAGATAATTCGCTTATAACTTCATCTTGTTGTCAGATGTACTATATATCCATTCTTGTAGGCACACACAATAGCTAACATAGTTTCCAATACCATTACTAAGATCTAACATTGCATGTAAATGTTCCTAAGTCCTTCATTACGTAAAATCTTTACAGAGTCGTTCGTAAAGGCATCCGTTATATGATCCTATCAAGTCTTTCCACATTATGATGCACCATTGTGCATTTAATCCACTATGCACGACGGGAAGAAGAAAAACCATAGTCTTGGGCCGCATGTTGGCTAACCCAGACATACGCTGCAGCACTGGACATTTTCGAACTTAGCATCATAGTGCTTCCAAACCCTTTTCAGACAGAAAACCAAGGAGAGGGTGGAGGAGGAGAAATCAATTGTTACCTAAAACGTGTGAGTATCAATTTTGTAAGAAATTGAAGTCCCGATAATAATTGAGTTTTGGACTCGTGGTCACGAAATATTTTTTGAAAGTTAGAATATGGATATTTTATTATTCTTGTAACTATTCACTAAGTAAATTTACGAAAATTTTGCGATAAAAATGCTTTCATTATTTAGCTCGACAGTTTTATTTAAAACCCGCCATTTAGAGATATTTCACAGAGGGGTACATTAAACGTCTAGTCATGTTTAAAGCTTACACTCTTTAAAAAACTTGAAAACCTCTAGAACACGTCATTTTGGTCGGCGAAGGAAAAATCACTCGTTTTTACCCCCTTCTTTTTTATATCCTTTCGTTCTCCCACTGTGCACGAAGAGCTTTCAAATCCCTCCCTCCCTCGCCGTGCGGTCAAGAGCATTTCCTTCGCAGCTCCGAAGTCGCGCGTCTTCCCGCCTGCCGCGGCAGCGTTCTTTCGCCCCTTTGTGGCGCTCTTGGAGCGAGCGGGGGGAGAGGGGGGCGTGGCGCCAGCGACCCGAAACAGAGATCCCCCGACGCCCGCGAGTTGCACAGGCGCCCGTGAATACGAAACAAATCGGTCGAAAGCCGGTGCTCAAGTAAGAGGCCACCGCTCCATCTCGCTTCCGGGCTCAAATAGCTGCTGCTGCTGCTGCTGCTGCTGTTGCTGTGTTGCGGCGGGGCTGTGAGGGAGCAGCGGCGCGCACGCGGATTCGCCTTGGGGTTTAACGAGACGCTTCAGACTCAATGGCTGGGGAGGGTAGGAGGGAGGGGGAGGGATTAGGGTGGGAGGAATTTAGAAATATTGAGAGCAGCTGCGGGGGATTTTCTTTCTTTCTTTCTTTTTTTTTTTTCAAATGAGAAATAACGAGGAAAAATTCCAACGCCGGTGCAGGAAAGCGCCGGCGCTGGTAAACAGAGAGTCCTACCAACTATGGGCCATCCTCATAACTTATAAACGGTTCCCGATAACGAAATGTAGTTTTCGCTCAACAATGAGGAATCATGAGGAAAATAATGTGCTATTGAGATATTGTTGAAAATATTTTTAGTTTCCGAGTTGTTCCGCGACCGAAAATTGAATAGACTAAGAATGTATTAGAGATGAATTATTCTTCTTTTGTAAAAAGAAAATCAGAGCTGCTCGGCTGAACTTGGAGATTACCTTCCCTGAAGTAAGGTTATGTAAGGTGTCTTCTGCGCGGTGACTGTCGCCTATGCTCGCCATTTCCCGTCTACTGCCCTGTCTCGTAACTTGAAGTGCACCGGGCAAGTTGGACAGGACAGCCCGCTGTCCTCCGAACGACCTTTCTCCCCGGAATTTTTCGCGTTGTCACAAGGGACATCCACTCCACCGATCTGTTTCGAAGTAGCAGTTTTCATGTATGCGGGCTTTAGGTTCTGAACTGCATTTGACAGCTTCCAACAACTTGAATGTAACACAGTGTGTACGTACTACAAAGTTTCACATTGACCCCTCCCCACTTTGTGCGCGTACAGCACCTTAGTAGCACGTAAGTGGAAGTGAATAAGGAGTATACATGTGTGTACAGTACCAGATCTGTCTTTCGAAACGGGTGACATATTTGCACATTTTTAATAGTAACTAATTATCTGTATAGCAAGTACAGAAATGTAGCTAATTCAATTAATCGTAACATAATTGGAATGTTCAGTTAACACGCGCAGTGAATGCCTTATGCAACAGCAGGTCTTGAACCTTTTCACCTTGGGAAGTAAAGTTTACCCTGAACCTTGAGCTCGCGTCAAACGAGAGCTACACCTTGGACAGCTGCTCGGCAGACTGTATGAGTAGTTCGTTACTATACACGCAAGTGCTCTTGATATTCCATAGCGGGGGGTGCGGGGAGAGGAGGGCTCTGCCTACGTCACGGCTTAAAAGGGCATACCAACTGTGAGCATGAACTTCACTCGCCAAAGCGTGCCACGAGAAACGCTACTGCTTGTTTTGAAAGTACGAGGTGGTTGTTGGCAGCGTTGTAAATTGGTATGTGCCGTTCCGAGTCGAACCTATCTCAACGGGCCGTGCTATTCAGCGCTGGGTGAGAACTAGGGAGCTGGTGTATCAAGAAATCTTGCGCGAGAAATACCTGAGATGTGTCCTTCCGTTGCAGGACGTGTTTCGGCTGCTGACCCCAGGAGGCGGCGGCTACGGCAGCCCAGCGGAGGCGGTGGCGGCGACGGCAGCGGCGGACGGCGGCAGCGGCAAGGGCAGCGCACACAGCCGCTTCGTCGAGCGAGGCAGCGTGTTCGAGTACCGCCGCGCGCAGGAGTCGGTGTAGAGCGCGCCACCTGCCGCCCCGCCCCTGGCTGCGACGCTGTACGTGATCACGGTGGCCGTGACTGTGTGAAGGGAGCGCCGTTAGCGTGGCGACTAGTAGTAGAAGCTGGAGAGGGCGCTCTTGTGAATTGAAGGCGGATTCTCAATGCAGTTGCAGGTGCATCCAGAGAGGCTTGGGGTGGGAGATTTATAGAGGCCCCTATTTTAAAACAAAAGTTCCGTCCCCCAATATATAAACAGTTTATTTTTCCATGCCTCAGAAATAACTTATAGCGATTAATTGAAATTAGAAGCAATTTTGTTTGTTTTGACTGAAACTAATCGAGGCCCCCATTACGTCGGGATCTGGACAATTTCCCCAGCTGCCGCCTTGTGGGCACCCCATTGCAATTGCTAACGTTTACGAACAAACACGAACGTGTGAATTTTATAAAAACATGTCCATTGGATTCACAGTGGCTGTAAAAGATGAAGCAGCAAGTCGTACTTTCGTGCACTCGGCTCAGAAATTCTTAACTCAACCGGACGACAGTAAGTAAAATGGACGCGATGGCCCTTGGGTGGGATTTGGATGATTCTATGAAATGTTTCACGAGGAATGATGGCGAGTGACATCGTCAAACGACGCTGATGCGCTATAGGATAATTAATTGTTGCCCATTTATATGAATGTGAAAGCCTGAAATTTGTGAACGTCTATCCGGTTTTATGAGACTTACGTTCACTTTTAGTTCACAGGTTTGAGTAATTGTTTCGAATAGCATGAGCCGAAGCTTTGCGTTCTATTATATTTCATTGTGAATTTGACTAAGTAAATATCTAGTTGAATCGGTACCCATCCGTTATGAGTGGATAAGAATAGTATCCACCCATGACAGCGCAAGCCAAAGTGAAGTGGCATTTCAAATAGTAGTGTAAAAAAATCTATATTGTTTATACGGTTGGAATCCAGTATGTGTATATTTCTTTATTTATAATTCAATTTTCAACTTCTATCTTTTTTGTCTTTACATAATCACCTTTTGAAAAATAGCTAGCAAATTTATTGATCGTTACTAAGCATCCAAGACAGCGCGACATATATTTTCGTCATGCACTTGTGGTAGAGCGTAGAATTTAAGGGGTTTTCTGCGACAGATGTAGTAGTTTGCGTTTCCATTTATCGGATAAAATGTATCTGAATGTACTGATAGTTTCTTTACATGCAAAAGACCTAAATTATTGGGTTTTTGTTTACTATCACGAGTAGAATCTCTCTAGGCCCCTTGAATAACTCCCTTGCAATCAGAACTTCAAACTGACGTTAAAAGATATACTTTCTCGTGACTTATGTATCTGGTGGCCTCGTAACGCATGTTAATTCAAGTGATTCATAATTCAAGAATCCTCTACTGTTCCTACTCTTCAAGAAATGTTGTGAACATGATTTTATATTCTTTGTTTTCACACAGTCACAGATAGGGAAAAGAAGATTTTCAAGTAATAATTATGACTCTTTGTAGTTCATAAATGAACTGTGATCATAAGAAAGACGTATGGACTTTTCGATTTTCCGTACGAAATATATCGTAGTTTCAACAAACCCCACTCCTCCAGAAAAAAAGGTTTCTTTCGGTGACATTGGACATGAGTTGGATATTGTGCTGTATTGATAACTCATTAACGCCTTACTGGATGTCTGCGACTGGTGGTTGTGACATTAATGATCTTTTCAATTTGTTGGTTAGGAATAATAGTGTCCTAATTGTTAAAAAAAATGATTTAACAATTTGCAGTCGTGCAACAAGGATTTCCAGGTGACGTTTTAACGAGCGTGGTACATCGCCAACACGTTTCGAGATATTGAACCAGAAATAGAAGACTTGAAGTTTATCTAAAGTATGATGTTACGTGTATATTTCAGGAGGGTTCATTTTGTATTGCCATCAGTCAATTCATATGATCACGGAGAAAAACCGGAAATGCTTGTTGTATTATATTTCTTTCGTCCGATAAGCTTTAAAAACATAAAAGGAACGTTTTGAAGATGTAAACTAACGTTAGGCATGAAATTAAAACACATTAATTTATCTTTTAAGTGAGGTCACTTTGTTGAGAAATGTTTCACCCACACAGAATATTCATGGTGGTTGTTACTATAGTGGTTCTATTGATGTTTCTTTTAGGAGAATACTAGCACCTGCAGAAGAAGTGTGAAGTACAACAGGAAATGCATCTGGGTTTCTATTCAAATCACATAACTGAATTGTTAACTTTTTTGTGAAGAAATTTGCTTGGAGGAAAGAAAGTAAAAGACTGAAAGTTATTTCGGCGATATTATTCGCTGCAGCTTTACAAGTATTGAAGATTATTTTTGTATACGTTTGAAAATTTGTAATGATTTAGAGTAGTTACAACATGTTTAAAATGTAAAAAAATCTAGTATATATCTGTGATAACCATTACAGATTAGATTCAGAAAATAATAGGTATATCCACACATCATTATTGGTTGTTCAATCTCCTAAAGACTTGTGTAAGAAAACACTTGTCACAAATATTGTATCTGTTAGGAGAAGTGTAATTGTATTGATTATTGTGTTCGTTTTTTGTAAGACAGTGCGTAATTTTAAATAAAGTTATAGAAATAAGTGTCTTTGGAGTATACTTGATAAAAATTCATGCAAAGACCCTTTTCTCACATGGAATCTCAACTGATATTGAGTTTTGAAATGCAAAGAAATAAAAAGCATTGTAATATTTTTAATTTTTATTCCATAATGTTTCACTATCCATGGTAACATTTTCTTCTTATATTACAATATTTCACACCTGTGCGCATTTACAAAATGCAAGGATCTTGCGAACGACGAGAGAAAAACATTCGCAATCTTTAGCAGAGCAATATTATTTATTAAACAAAGTTAGACATGTGAAAACAGGGCAAATGTTTTACTCTCGTGAATATTGAAGATCCTTACATGTATAAAGATTTTATTTCATAGTGCCAACAATATCAAGATACAAACTTAATCACATTCCTCATTTCTAAACAAGCCACATACAAAGTGCCACATTTTGACGATGTCGATTTTATGTTTTGTCGGCATGAATGGGTATCGATACTGTTCATTTGAGCGGCTTGAGTTTTAAAGGCCACTGAAAAGTTTAAACAGCATATTATGTTGCTTAAAATTGCATTGCCCTGCGATTATTCATGCAGATTAAACAATTTATTTTTCTGTTCAAGAAAATTTGATTAACGACCATTGTGCCCTAAAAATGCATGTCTGTGGGTCTTAAACTTGACAAGTACAAAACCTTAAGTAACTTATTTCGGAAATTTCTTTATCAATGCACGCACGCCAGTGTATATTGTTTACAAAGACCACACAATGGAAGAATTTACCGTGAAATTAAATGCATTGAACGCCTGAAAACCAGACGGTGTGAAATTACTTTTAGAACTGCAAACGTTGTAATTTTGTTTCTCCGTGGCAAAACACATGTTATTTGATTTTCAATTTCTTCGTTTGCCCTAGTAACTAACATATAGCTAAGGCTGCACAAAACACCACAAAATGAACAATATTGATAACGAAGAAAGCAGTTTATTTACTAAAGCAGAAAATGATTTAAAATGGGTTTTGAATAAACAGATTCAATGGAACCTCACTGGAGGATTTCACCGTGCAATACTTTATCTATAATACAAAACACACATTCATTTGAAACCAGCTAAGCGCTAGTTGAGCAAAATGTATTGTTAAGGCCATTCTTACGTGTCTTCTTGTATTTAGATACGCCTTTCTTTCAATATTGATAACCGCACAAATTCTTGCAAAATTATTTTTACTTTTTTAACGAGAGGTAAGTATTAGAACAAGCCATCTAACACAACATTGTTAATGATACCAGGATAAAAATGGAAAAGTTGCGAATATTCTGCACATACTTTGCAATTACAGTTTTCCAAGCATACTGGCATGAACTTCTCCTGTGAAATCAGAGGGGAAGGAAATTTTGATTAGAGTAATACAGAGAAAATAATTGCTAGTCAAATAGAAAAAATATCAAATTGGTCTGCAGACGTCGCACTTTATGACCAGCAACTTTTTCATATAAAACAAATATAATGAACAAATGAATATTGATATAAAAATTAAAAAACAAATGCATAAATATATTTTTGTTTCTATGAACAATTGAGCGTAGTTATATTATTGTACGAGAAAATGTAAATAATGAATCCGAGACATTTTATAACATGTTTTCTCAAATGTCTCGCGAAATGTGAGACCCACAGAACACGCTTTGTCAACGCACAGATGTTATATGTTATATGTTATGTTTGAATACGCCGATTCTAAACGATCTTAACAAAGTAACGTTCACTCCTCTGAATCCTTTCTCAAATTCTGCAATGACGATCTCATATATCGATCATTATGCATGTTTCATATTTCAACTATTGACTAACTCACTTCTGTTTTAGTACCACATTTCAACTTGCTGAGTTTTGAGAACGATTACTTTCCTCTTCATTATGTGTAGTTCCAAGCACATTGTTCTTCATTCAAGCCCATTGTACTGGCTAAATGAAATCGAAAGCAATTATACTCGGTGATTTTATTCCGTTTATGATGATCGTTCGAATTGAATATTATAAAATATTGTATCTCAATATTCATAAACATCAAGGAAATGACATTAAAATGACTATTCCACTTGTGAAATTAAATCCAAAAGTGTTTAACTATACATACAAAATGCCCCAATCTGGGCGGTGTGTCTCAAACATATTACCGCTTTCTCTACCTGTTTTTTCTTAGCGCTTCTACTTACTGGCCAATCATACTGTGACTCATTCTTCTTAGAAAGCGGTATACATCGATCGCTTTGTCGATGTACAATAAACAGCGTATGTACTATAACATAACCTCTGATGTTAACATACGCTTTCAGTTATTTTCAAAATTTGGCACATTTTAGAACTTGTTGGACATAATTTCACTCGTGGAATAGTCCTCTTAAATACCACTCGTGCTTTGGAAATTCTCAGATTAATCCCCTCGCTTCGAGAGTAGGCTATTTATGGACAATTTCAAAACATTCGTGATATTACCTATCATAAATACTCTCAACAAATTAAATTTTATAAAACAAACTTATTGTGAAAACAGTTTCGGTTCATATTCTCATTAGTGTTATTTTATAATATAATGATTTTGCGTGAACATAACGAAACTTTTTCAGAGCAATAGAGGTGAGGAAATAATCATCTTCAGCAAGAGCTTCAAACTGAATACAGTTATTATATGTCTGCATCATTTAAATATAAAACCTGTTTACTTGACTGTGAAACGTGTTCATTCTCAGGCTAGATATCTCGCGAGGGACATCATGCTTCAACCAATACTATAGTCATAACAAAAAGCGAGAAATGTGGATTCAGAGAAATGGCGAAAATTCAGTTCTGCACTCTGAACACCATCGTACCAATAATCGTAGCTACCCTTGCGGATCATAGATAACGACTTTCATTCAATTAATTAATTTTTTCCGCCAAGAAAACGACTCTCATAAATAATGGAAGCTCTCAAGACTTTGGAGAGTTTTGCACTGCGTGAAACTTGACTGTGTAAACAGCTCAATAACGTAAGAGAAAACAATGCCTCATGTTCTCAAAGCGTTCGACCCAAAGTATTTTTTTGTAAGTTGTTTCGTTAATGAATGATTTTCCGGACTCCACGGGAGTGCGTACTGTGAGAACAAAATTTGCAGGAAGGCATTGCCTGTTGATCGTGCTTCCTGTTACTTTTCGCGTCTGTTTACAACTAGATTAGCAACATCAGCGTTTCTCTTCCGTTTCAGTTTAGTAACATCTTCAGTTAAAGTAATGTGGATCCTACTCATAACAAATCACGTAGAATTTCATTATCCATTATTTCCGTAAATTGGTTAGAGTTCACGGATGTGAACAGTGCTTAGTGTAAACGCCATCTAGTTTCGCACTGCAAAAATTCTCTATTGGTTGAAGTATAAGCGAGTAATAATCTTTATGATCATCCAAAAGATTTGCGATGAAACATATCCACTTATTTATGTTTCTAATGATTAATATACGAAATTTAAGAGCTGTTTCATAGCGGTCCCTTTAGCAGCTGACGGATGGAGAACACTGCAGCTTTTGCTTATTAATATAAAGAAAGAAAACAAAAACAATTACTACTAAATGTCTTACCCTCTTTTTATAAGTGAATACACTTTTATATAAAATATTATAACTATCTTGTAAAACCTCCACGATTCCCATGATAGTCAATTCGGATTTGCAGGTGCCATCGTTGTTGCCAGAACTAGGCTCAAATCGTGTTTGTTTCATTCCTTTCTGAGTAGATCCAAGTGTTTATTGAAGTATAATTGAACGAAAATATTGTTTTAATTGATAAAATTAAACAATATACAAGAAAACTAATATAAGAAGGTATAATATAGTTTGGTTCCGGTTTAGGGGGAATTGTACTGGCACTTATAGAGTCTAAGAAAAAAATCTACTCTTAGCGTCGTGAATAACGAGGGACGTCAAGAGAAGATGGCAACTAAAGGTATAAAAATTCGGAAGAGGAAAAGAAAAGAACTGGATAAACAATTGAGAATATCATACTTAAACTAATACTCAAGTACATCAATTTGTTGAAGAAGAAGAAGAAGGTTTAACTTCTTTATGCGCCAGCACTGCTTTTTATGAAATACTGCATTTGCCTATACTTTTCTATTACTAAAGTCAGCTACACAATATATATCAGCAAATAAAATAATAATAATAATTATTATTATTTCTGAAAACAACTGGAAAAATGCTTTTCAAGTGAGACATGAAAAGTTATCATCATATGATTGAACATACTTTTCAAAATGCAGTTCAGGGGCACAGTCAGTGCTAAATAATTCAGTACTCTCTGAAGATACATAATTTTGTCACGTCACGAGCTTCAGTTCGGCTAATACTCGTAAATGGTGCATGCAGATTTAATTACACCAGGGAACAAGATTTTTACTTCCAGTAAGGTAGAGTGCGCAACATACTCAATTTTATACGTAGATTACGAATATCCCAATATAAACGTTATAGTTTTTAAATATATCGTAGCAAAACGTATTTTGCAATTAATGCAAATACATTTACAATTGCACCTGAAAGATACGTAGAATCAATGCACTCAAAATTTATTTATTATTTAAAAATAAAATATTTGTCAGTTCATTTATGCCACTTTCATGAAATACCAACAAAACTAGACTTTCGTGTTGTTCTTTACCTTCTGTATTCGAACATTGCCGTATTTATTCTCACGTCTGGTAGTCGCGTTTAATTACGAGTAGGTCTTAGGGGATGTTTTAAAAACAAGTCACGAGCACCCTCATATTTCTTCCTGCACATCAGTCACTGAAAGGAATTATTTTAGCCCCTTACCTTATCGCTAGTGTACAAGAATCCCAATGTTGGGGTGTCAGATTCTGAGTCAGGGGCTGTCGTGAGGAACTGTCCCGCAGTGCGTGAGAAAGGGTTCTGGTTTGTGTGTGCCTCAAACACATTAATGCATTATAGTTATTTGTTTTTTATAAAGTGAAATTCACCACAAGATCTGTATATCTGAATCGGTTCAATAAAGGCTAAATCATTGTGTGGGCGAATCAATTCGGTAACGTCTCTTCCGTTTGTGGAAGATTTACACCCAAAACTCAAA